ACAATAGCTAAACTGGGTTTGCAGATGTCTATGGTCACAATATCTATTGCACTTGATTTTCTGCTGAGTTATTGGACAATAGCTTTCTTTCTCCCTGAGTTACTTTAGTCTTTTCCCTGAACCAAACAGAGTCACAATATCCATTGTACTTGATTTTCTATAGCATACGTAGAACTTTTAAGCTGAGTGGGCCTCTAGGTTGAGTACCAGTTGTTCTTCCACCCCTAAATGACCGACCTGGCCCTCTATTTGATAATCACCTTTTGGGCACTTTTGTTGAGATATTTATGGTCTTTACAAGGCAAAGGTTATCCTGTATGAGAAGATTAAGATATTTGGTGAGAGTTCATATTTATGTAGATGATGAGGAATGACTTAATGCTGAAGTAGATGTTAATTGTTTGATTTTCTGTCTTGAAGAACAATGAAGTTTTTTACACAATTTATAGGATTGTCTCAACTCTCAAGCTGGTATACATATGTGCCATAACTGCAATCTACCTGCCACTTGGACCCCCCAGACAAGTGCAACGTGCATTCTCTTGACATCTCAGCGATCCTGCACAATTTTTTTGGGATCCTTGAACATAAACGACCTTGGTATCGTATCATTTTTTCTCGTCTATGCTGTATTCGTTTCATGAAAGACAATTGCATTGATGTCAACATATTTAGAATCAATTTCTCTCTATCTGCCATCAACATTTTGTTAAATACTTCCCATATGTTATTAAGGAGAATGTAGCTCCTGGAGTGCAGTGAAAAGTGTGAATGACTCCACTCTTGAGGGTGTTTCTTCATCAACAATCTGTATGCATCGTCACTCACTCCACGAATTTTTTGCATCCAATGTTTGAATTCAGCAACAGTTGATGACTTGGCTGCACGCCAAAGAAAATCCTTTAGTATCTTGCTCTTATGTCCGGAGTTGAAGAAGTTTGTGTACATATGTCGTACACAGTAACAATGTTCTGCCTGTGGGAATAACTCCTCACATACATTTTGAAGACCCTTTTGCCTGTCAGTCATCAATGTCCAACCCCTCCCATTGTCAATGTCAAAGTCCTCTTAGAGGTACTTCAAAAACCACCTCCAAGAGTCTATGTTCTCCTTCTCGACAACAGCATACACCACAGGGTATATGCAGTCATTAGTATTTTGCATACTCCTTGAGCTCGTTTTCTATCATTAAACTTTAACCTCACGTTGTAACCATTAAGAGCACCATAGGTTCTCATTGCAATCTGAAACTCTTCCATTAACCGAAATAGTTGTCCAACCTCAAACTGCGGATTCCTCATATCTGTCTCGGCCAAAAATTCTGGAAAGGGATAACCAACTTCTTCATCCGATGAACAAACCAATAATAACTCCTTAGATGATGGATACTCCAAGTCATCGTTGTCCACCTCCCCTTTCCAGTTCAGTACTGCATCATTTCCTACTTCATTCATGTTCGAACCAATTTTGAGGCCATCTGTCACATTGCGATCGTGCATAAAATCATCATCCTTAGAAGCCATGTCAACCTCAGAATGAACGAAATCAGGGTCTTCCTCGTTTTCTGTCAACAAAATGAAAACAATGCGGTAATTACCTGCAGTTCATGAATCACCCATAATAACGCAACTACTATCTCCAATAACTAACAGTTACGCGAAATCACACAAACTGGAAATACCTTCATATTTATGCAAAATCAACACAAATTGTAAAATCAGAGCTACTGGAATTACCAGTAGACGCATTGTTGTCAACACAAACATTATATTTCAAATCAAGGGTGGGCTTTACCTCTGTGATCTCCTTCTATGTTTGAAAATTGGAACCTCACAAAGAAGTGAAACCAACTGAAAAATGCAGTGAGAATCAAGTAAAGAAGTGAAACCAACTGAAAAATGTAGTAAGAATCAAGTCAAGCTAGCTACTTCCAGTTCACTTCAAGTGGGAATCCAACATTGTTGCTCCTTCCGACTAAAGTTTGAGAACGGATTCCACCTCAACTTCTGCAATCGCGACGGGAAGGCGGAAATTGTTTCGTTCAGGGGGTGAATTCGATTTGGGATGAATGACAAAATTTGTTCGAATCTCAATGGCAATCCAATAATTTTCATCCTTCGAATCTCAATTTCTGGGCTGGAGCCCACCTCAATGTCTGCGATCGCGACGGTGGTTGGGAGATTAGGGTTCGACTTCGTTTAGGAGAAAGACATGATTCGTTCAATTGAAGGAAATGGGTGATTAATGAAAATTAAACTCTTACTTGGCCAAGGAAATGACGCCGTCACTGCTACGCCAAACTCCGTTAAGCAATCTAGGCTGACTTCCAAACGGCCGACTGTTTTAGTGATGGATTAAGGTAACCTTTTGCAAGCTCAGTGACTGATCAGAAGCATTACTAAGTTGAGTGACCACAACGCGACAAAGTTCAAAGTTCAGTGATTAATGAAACTTTTTACTCATGATCTTTTGTCTAAACTTATTAGAAAGTTCGTTCTTCGAATGATGATGCAACTGACCCGAATCACCCTTCACATTCGGATTTGGAGCAACCAAATGTGGAATTGTTTCTTGATTGGTATATAAAATCCAATTCCCACCACTCCCATTAGTGTATTGAATTGACTGGCAAACATACCCAATTATCAGCACCCAGGTCGGGATGTGAGATCAAGGTACAAACTCCGACGCTGCATGATTGAATTTGAAAGTGCCACATCTTTCACTTTCCTTCTCCTCCTCTTTCTTAATATCAACATCATCAAAAAAATTTTTCCTAAATTTACTTGCCCCTTTTTTTCACAACAAAAAAATAAGAAAAAACAACAAAAAATTGTTTGAAATTGGTAAATCTAATTGTTTTTTCAGTCCTTTGTGCAGGACAAAAATTTTGTTGGCTTTTTCAGAAAGGTGGTGGGTGAATGAAAAAGAATGGTATTGGCAGGGGTGGGGCCAGCCTTTCAAACTAGGGGGTCCCGGAGTTGAAGGGGCAGGGGCTGAAAGGGGTGGGGGGGCAGCGTCCCCGAAATTTTTTTTTGAAACATTATCTGTTAAAATGAGGAAAGTTGGTACTTTGTGATGGAGAAATGAAACAAATGAACATAAATTAATGTACGAAGAATTCACAAAAAAATCAAGAAACATATAAAAGAAACTACTAATCTTTTGAAATATTTCTCCATCACTGAGCCTGAGGATTGATGAAACTCTCACTTATAATTGATAAACAATACAACTTCACAAACAACTGAATGGGCTAGATTGGGAGAT